GTGTCCATCACTGCCCTCACACATGCTCTCTGCAGCAAAGCTAGTGAACCCATCCTGATTCTTCTTTTTCTCTCTTTCTTTCTTTTCTTCTTCTTTCCCCCCACAAATACTCCTTTGATTTAACTTAGGCTTTTCTATAGTCGCAAATAATCACTCCTGATCCTTTGACTCACAAACTAGTCATCACTCGAAGAGCATAAGTATTTCACCTTACCACAGGTAAGAATCCTGCCTGAACTAAGAGTCATCCTCCACTACCAACAAATTCCACACACCCCATCTCTTCGTAACAGAACCACGAAAAGGAAGAAAAGCCTCAGGTGTCAGAAATTCCTCAAGAGACTATTCATGAATGCATTTGGTTGTCTCAAAACTTTGAACGTGTGAGGAATCCTCACGGCGTACGTTCCACTCTGTATAACTCTTTTCCACCTTTCTCAGGTCGGTGAAACTTTGTTTGAAATTGTTGTTTTAGTTTGTTTTGTTCTTTAGACATATTTCAAAGGTTGCAACTCGCCCTCCCACCTCCACTATAATGCAAAACCTACTATGTTAGCAACGCTCTCAGGCTGGCATATCAAAGAATTCCAGAAAATGAGGATTTAGGGCTGCCACTCTCTCCACTACTTTACCAAACACTTAAGAAACTCCAGCAGGAGAGGGCCTCTCTCCCATGGGGCTGTGTGGGGGCGGGGAGGGGACCTCGTCTCCTCAGCCCTTGGGCTGGAAGCGCCGATCAGCCCTGGGGGATCCCTGTCGGGGCTGCCACGAGCTGGGCAGCCTTGTTTTCCTACCTCAGACGTTTGAAGTTGCTGGGAGCCCCTACTTGGTCTACACCAGGCTGGGCCTTACGTGGCAGCACTGGGCACGGGGCCTCTGGCTTTCTTTCCCAGGACACTGCCAGGCTCTCATGGGCTGATCCTGGCCTAGGTTGTCCCCGGGCAAGGACGTATGCACCCCCAACAAGTGATCACCTACTGTACAGACACCCGCCAGTGAGGGGGCCTCTCACCTCCTGCCCTCCTAGACGCAACTGCTTGTTCCCAGGGGATGTCACCTGGAACGGGGTCCAGGCACGGAGGCTGTTGTAGAAGGGCATCTGAGGCCACCTCAGTTGGGGGGAAGCTCACCGTTTTCCCTGCCTGGATTGACCTGGGCGCCAGCCAGGCCGCTCCCGCCCTCAGTCCCCAGCTGTGTCTCCTGCACAGGGTCCCGTGCAGGATTGTGAGGCGGGGGTGGCGAGGAAGAGGCCTGAGTGGGTGCTGGAGAAGAAGGGCACCCCGGGCGTCAGGGCAAGGAAGTCACACCTGCCCCTCAGCACACTGGCAGCAGCTCAAGCCCTGCCCTAGGCAGCGAGCTGCCTCCAGTGGGACAGCTCGGGGACCCAAAGCCTGTGAGCTGTGCCACCCAGCCCGGGCCCTCGCCTCTGGAAAGTGTTCGACATTCAAGTGCCTCCTTCGTCAGCTGACAAAATGGTGTTTTACAGAAATTCTAAAAGATTCTAAAGTCCTAAAAGTATTTTCTTCGCTAACCAAAGTTCTGAGAGCATCTTATTTTGTTCTAAAAGCAAGAAACCACTCTCTGTGGAAAAGATAACAAAAGAACAGCTGCGGGAGGAGCAGACTTGGACTCTACGCTCTCCCCTCCACATCAGCGTCACCTTCACTAAACATACATCAGTTGCTCGTCTGTTGTGTTCTGAGTGTGAATTATCCCCTCACTCTAATGCCTAAGTATTCACATATTCACTCCTTATGCAAAGCATTTATGCCTGGTTTTAAATAATTTAATATAATTGGGCTCCTCGGTGCATTAATTTGAATAATTGCCACTTCAGACTTAACCTCAGTGTGACTCCACACAGAAGTGGTACCTAAAGGATGCCAGTGTTAGAAGGAATTGAACGTGTGTGTCTGAGTGTGTGTGTAGAATTCAGAGACATATATGTTTATATAGGTATAGTTTATAGAAAGCTATAGACATATATATATATATATATTCGCCTGTATATACAAGGAATAATATACTATGGTAGGTTTTTTTTCCTTTAGGAAATTAAAATCTTCTGGTTATGGGTAATTTCCAAAACCTGGGGTTTACTTTTCCCATTTACCTCCAACCGGGACCCCAAAGTTCAAACCTTATTTCCCAAACATGGAAACGGTTACAAAAACAAACCTACATGAGAATGTCCAGGACAAAGGTGTCCAAGTCCCAAACCAGGTTTTAGAATGGCTGCCCTGCCAAGGTGCTTTTTTCAGGTTTACTGACCTTCACTTTGTCTTCAGTCACACCCATGCACCTTGTAAGCTCCTGTCTGAGGGGAGAAAATTGGAAGTGTTCAGCATTGGGGGTTGCGGAAGAAACTGAATATAGGATGCTATTTCATCCTTTAGAAAAATTTCTTTTTTGGAAAATGTCAGTCACTTATTTTAAGAACTAATTTCTGCAGTACAAAAACTCACACATTTTCAGGTTATACAGTGAAAATAAGTTGACAAAGCATTTAAGGAAAGCCAAGTCTCATTAGTAAAGGAGGCACAGTTCCCAAAAACACAAGAAATTCTAATCCAGTTTCTTTTAGTGTTACCAACTTCAAAAATGAATAAAAATCTCTGACAAAATATCTTTACCAACTTTCAATCATTGCTCTTGCCCATTTTATGATTAAATTAGACCTTAAAATAGCTCGCTTGCTGGACCAATCTATCAGTGATGAACAGGTTGGAGTACGTCCTAGTAGATACGAAAGGACGGCACAAAATGCTGTTCATTCGCTGGTTGAGCTTATTTAAAAAAAAAATTTTATCACCAACTCCCCAGTGCCGACGTAGTACATTATTCTGTAATCTGTAGCTTGAGGCTTGCTTTAGAGACAGTTTTCTCACAAGAGCAAAATTTAAGGGAATGCAGAAAAATCACTAGTCAAGATAAATAATTTTCAAAACCACTATTTTAAAATACAAATATCAATGTAAATATAATCCATGAATAACTGATGATCAAATCTTCAGATAAAAGTAGACTCCAACTCTGCATTTGCTCCACCACGCCTCAGGCGACTCATTATTTATGTTAACCGGCGGCCCAGAAAGCTCCCCAACGTGACTTATTCAAACACCGCACGGAAATATCGACCTCGATTCCCACCAGGCAGAGCCCCCTCCCCCGTCCTAGGCCCCGAGTGCGCCGGAAGGGCCGGGCCGCCTCCAGGCCTTGGGGCTTTCAGATCCGGAGCCGAGGAGAGGGACTCGCGAGAGCGCCGTCCACCACCCGCGCGGCAGCCCGCGCCACCCGAGACGCCCGCTTACCGCATGCGCGCGCTGGGGTACTGAGTGTGCTGGAAAACGCTCTCCAGGTCCTGCACCTGCACCTGCGTGAACCTGGCGCGGGGGGCCCGCCGCTGCCCGTCTGCGGCCTCGGGACCCTTGACGGCGGCCTGCGGGGGCTGCTCCTCGCCGCCCGCCTCGGCCTCGGCCTCGCGGCTTTTGCCGTCCGCGGGGCCGGCGGCTCCGACGCTGACCTCGCAGCCTTCCTTTCCTTCTCCTTCGTCTCCCGCCTCTTTCCCTTCCGCGGCTGCTCCCTGCTCCGGTTCGGACTGAGCCTTCTGCTCCTCTGCCCCCTCTCCGGGAGGTGAGATGTCCGCGGGCTTCACCTCTGCAAGGGAGGAAACCCAAAGAGAAAGATCAGGCCGTCGAGTGAGCCCGGCTCTGGGGAGGGCCTGCGTCCGAGGGGCGTCCTGCTGTTCGCCCAGCCCTGGGAAAGTACCTTTCCTGGAATCCGTTAAAGCGAGTGCCCCACCCGCCACTGACCTTTCGCTACTTCCCGCTCCTCTTCGACCCCCAGCTTGAAGAAGCCGGCAACGGCTGCATCCGTGACGTCATAGGCATCGTGGCTGCTCTGCGGCTGACGCTCCATGTCCCGACTGCTGTCGAGGAGGCTGTGAGCTTCAGCGGAGGCTGCTCTGGATCTCCTGAGACCCCCCGGCTCACGACTCAAGGCTAGAGCGGTGGCCCACGATCCAGCACGTTAAGGCTCCTCTGGCGTATGGTCGAGTTTCAGAGAGTCTGGTATGACGCCCGCTGTGGGTTTACCACAGCCTGTTGGGGGTTGGGTTAGCTGATGTGCGCATGCGGCAGGGCGTCGGCCGTCTAGGGGCCGTCTAAGGGGGCGCGGGCAGGGTGCGGAGAATGTTGCGCGCCGCCCAGGCGCTGGCAGGGAGCATGCGTGAGAGCAGAATTCCGGGTCCCAGGTTGCAACCTAGCTGACTAAGTACTCCGCACTGGGTCGGGCGCCTTCCCAGACCATGGGTCTGTGCCCGATTTGTGGAGAGTAAGAGAGAGACCTCGCCCAAGTTCCATAGACCTTGGAGAAGCGTTTGGGGACTATCTCTTGACCGAGCCCTCCATATCCAGCAGCCAGTACCAAGAAGGGAACAGTAATCAAAGTAATACGGTCGCCCCTTGGTATCCGCGGGGATTGGTTCCAGGACCCGCCGCGGATACCAAAATCGGTGGATGCTCAAGTCCCATAGTCGGCCCTCCGCATCTGCTGATGTGAAACCCACGGCTATGGAGGGCCGCCTGTATATTTATTGAAATTTTTTAAAAAACACCTGTGTTTAAGTGGACTTGCAAGTTCAAAAGCCGTGTACTTGAAGGGTCAACCGTATTATTAGCTAGGAGTTTGCTTGCTCTGAATTTTTGCAATGAGGCTAAAGTTAGAGTCCACCATACTCCCCCAGGGTCTCCGGGAACAGGAGCTTGTTATGAGTATGCGGGGTGCTCAGATGCACTACAGGGGTACAAACCAACCTAGCACACCCCTTAAGAAAGTCCATGGCCTGTAGATTTTTAGTAATGAATCCACATCAGATTGCAGAAGTTGAAACCTGCACAGTGCTTAGAGCATCTGAGAATGCATAAAGTGCAAGGGCTCCTCTTTGTCCTGGTTTTGACTATGGATAATGCAACTTCTGCGATGCATCTGGCTATAGACCTTCCTCAAAAGCCTACTTGTTCCCTGTCCTGGGCGAGTGCTGTGGACCTGGTCGAATTCCTCCCTTTCCTGCTGCTGCCTCCTCCCCTTTTCCTCTAAACCTCCCTTTTCTAGAAATATCTTCCTGAGCTCTTGCTGCGGAATAAATAAAATTAATTTATTGTCAAATACAGAGAGCCAGACCAGATTGAGGGCCCTGAGATTCTTCCTACAAGGAGTGTTTTGTGGATGCTTCAGGATATGTTAATATTCTAAATATTAAGACTAGCTTCTAACAATGGACCCTATGCTTGACAATGTTTGTGAAGTATCTTAATTTTACCTGCACGACCACCATTCTCATTAACCCTATTTTATATCTGAAATTAAACTACGTTCATGGGCCCCAATTGTATCATGGACCCTTAGTCACCTCATGTACTATGCCTAATAGATAACTACCCCCTGCCTCATGCTCCCAGAGAATGGGTAAGAAAACAGCTAAAATGTTTGGTTGGAGACTTCCCTGGTGGCGCAGTGGTTGAGAATCTGCCTGCCAATGCAGGGGACGTGGGTTCGATCCCTAGTCCGGGAAGATTCCACATGCTGTGGAGCAACTAAGCCCATGAGCCACAACTACTGAGCCAACGTGCCACAACTACTGAAGCCCGCGTGCCTAGAGCCCATGCTCTGCAACAAGAGAAGCCACCACAATGAGAAGCCCACGCACCGCAACAAAGAGTAGACCCCACTCACCACAACTAGAGAAAGGCCGCGTGCAGCAACGAAGACCCAACGCAGCCAAAAAATAAATTTAAAAAAAATGTTTGGTTGGCCAATTCACTCTCAAAAAGATGGTAAGAGATTACAATCTGACGGCCTCTGTCTTTGACCAAGATATTACCTTCTCAGGATAGCACTTCCTGGAGCCAAACTACTGACATCAGAAACCTTGCTTTCTCCCCACTTGCTACCTGGCTAACCTGAGTTACTTATTCTCCCTTAGCCTTAGTTTCCTTATCTCCAAAATCAAGATAACAACAGTACCTAATTCTTGGGGTTGTTGTGAGGATTAATGGAGATAATTTTTAAAATCTTTATAAGTGACCATACCATGTTGCCTCCCATTTCCTTCCATCTTTTTAGTAATTATTTTTCATGAGGGCCCAGGAGAGAAGATAAAGATGGTTATCATCTGAGTGTTGGCAATGAAGAGAGGATATTTTCTTGTGAAAATAATGTCCCTGCCATGTCTTCTTGTACCTATATGTGCTTCAAGCAATAAGCCTATGTTGACTGCTGCATGTAAAGGGCAGCAATGTGGGAAGGCCTGTGAAAGCCAACCTGGCCATTGTGCTGGAGGTTCTCACAATCTGGGGAGGCAAACTGGCCCACCTAGGAGTAGGAGGACCCACAGTATGGAGGCAGACCTCCAAGCCCCACACCTTACTTACTCTGTGACCCTGGGCAAGGTAGCTGACCTCTTAGAGCTTCGGGTACCACATCTGTAGGATGGGGATCATGATGGTACCTGCTGTACCGTGTTGTGAAATTTACATGAAGGAATACAAATAAGGCCCATGGTGAGGGCTCAGGTAACTTTAGCTGATGCTAGAGTTAAGGGGTCGGGACTGACTGCGGTCATTCTGCACAGGGGCCTGCACTGTGACTGAGGATGCTGGTCACGGAGTGTCGCCCCTGCCCCTGAGTGGATATGAGAGTCTGTGGAGTGGCACAGAGCTGTGCTTGCTCAGGCTGGTGACACCATGTGGGTACTCACTGTGCACCAGGGCCTGGCTAATCGATCTTATAGCCGTCCCCTGGGGAGGGGGCATCATTCTTTTAGTTCCTAACTAAGGAAATGGAGGCTCAGAGAGGTTCAGTGACTTTCCCAAGGTTACACAGCCCAAAGGTAGGGCCAGGATTCAAATCTTTGAAAAGACTTTGTACTTAGCAGCCCGTGGTAGAGCAGGTTTGTTTTTTGTGGGTAGGGTGTTGTTTGTACATCACAGGATGGATCAGACACTGGCAGATGCTGTGCAGGCTGTGCTGGGAATCCCAGTTAAAAGAAGTAGCATGGTGTAAATCAACTATACTTAAAAAATATAAAAAGGTAGATGAGCAGCCCCAGGATGGATGAGTGCAAGCTTGTCTCAGGGAACCCCAACACAGCCAGGGTGGCCAGTCAAGTGCATGCAAAGTGTGGCCTTGAGAGGGAATTGGAGGGAGAACCTGAAGATAACACTGTAGTGGGTGAGAAGTAAAGTTTAAAAGGTGGATTGAGGTCAAAGTTATGGAAGGAGTCAGAATGCCAGCATCTGGGCATGGATAACTGTAATGGTTTTGGTCAGGGGGCAGTGATAATGAAAGTGGTGTCTTAGGATGTGGAGTAGAGGGGGAGAGTCTCTAATGTGGCACCCTACTCAGTTCATTGCAGTTGTTGGAGTGGGGTACATCGACCAGACATGGGGTTCCTGACTTGGAGGCCATGGTTGGCCATTGGGGAGATCGTGAGTCTTTCTGAACTTGAATGTAAATTTTAAGAGTGTGTGCACCTTTCATCAGATAATCAAGGGGGTACATGATGACACTAACTATCTCCTCCCGAAACACAGAAGACCAGAGTTTTGAGTGAAGATGCCAGGCTTTAGAGTTGGAACACCTGAATCTGGTTTCAACGCACAGCACTGTTCTTCTAGTTCCCTTCTCATAGCAAGAACTTTGGCCCCATGTTCTTGTCACGTGACACTGAGCATGCCTGACATCTCTCTGAGCTTCCGTTTCCCAATTGTAAAATAGAGTGACTATTATTACCTAGTACTACTAGCTAAAATAAAGATAATCATCTTACAAAATACTTTTCTTTTTTCTTTTTTTAAATTTCTTAGTCTCTGTCTACATTTCACTTAACATAATGCCCTCTAGATTCATCCATGTTGTGGCAGGATTTCCTTCTTTCTCGTGACTGAACAATATCCCATTGTATATGTACACCCGATCTTCTTTATCCATTCATCCATCAATGGACACTCAGGTTGTTTGTATGTCTTGCTATTTACAGAATTCTTGTGAAGCGAGAATGAAGTATGGAAAGATACTTTATTAATTTTAACTGAGTAAAAATATAAGGGGTGACTTTTATTATTGTCATTTGTGCTAAGGGATTTGGCTTTTTATTGTTTAAATACCATTTACCATGAAATTTTCAAACATACACAAAAGTATTCAGAATACAGTAATGCAATAATGAACCCCCATAGAAATCATCATCCAGATTCAATATCAGGATTTTGCTAAACTTGCTTCATCTATCCTGTTTTTTTTCTTCCCTCTCTCCTTTGTTCCCTCCCTTCCTTCTTTCTGTCCTTCTCTCTTCCTCCCCTCCCCACTCACTCTCCTCTTCTTGCTGTGCTGATTTAAAAGAAACTCAACACAACATGTATTTTCATCCCTGTATCTTTATGTGTATGCCCTTTCTAAAAAATACAGACTTTTTTCCTACATAACCACAGTGCCGTCCAGGCTCCTGAATGGTAATAATAATCTCTTGGTGCCATCACCCAGTCACTTGTATTCCGCATTCCCTGATTGCCTCAAAAATGACTTCTTACAGTTGGTTTTTATAGGGTATAAGTTTTTCTGTGTCTACACTGATAAAGTAAAAGGAAAACTCGGAGGGGGCACTTGCATATGTAATCCCAGCCTTAGAAAGGGGAGGAGGAAATTAAAGACAGCCCTGGATATATACTACTGCTGGTGGTTGTATGTGGCAATAAAAGTGATTCAGTTTGGGTTTTTTAAATAAATTTATTTTATTTATTTATTTTTGGCTGCATTGGCTCTTCGTTGCCACGCACGGGCTTTCTCTAGTTGCGGCGAGCAGGGTCTCCTCTTCGTTGCAGTGCGTGGGCTTCTCATTGCAGTGGCTTCTCTTGTTGTGG